AACCTTTGAACCCTCCGACGAACAAATTTGAAAAGAAGGGGGCCATTACGCCGGGGGGCATAACAGGACCTCTACGGCGGTGCCTGGTTCCTCTCTGCTGGACCGACGCGTGGCAATTATACTCCGTGCACCTTCAAGCTCCCAGTACGGTAGAAGCTACCTGCTCGTTAGGCAAGTCATACGTGCATCTTTAGTCACGTGATCATGCTTCCGCTCATACCAACACGCAGAGAGTGGGGTCACGTGATGAGAAAAGAGCAGTTGATTGGTACGCCAAGAGTGTAGCTCCCATCGCACTGTCAGCTTAGCTGAGGCCGCCTGTGCTCGAGAGGGAGTCTGATTCGAGCAAGTGAGCTAATGTGTCAACGGGATGAGCAACTCGGCCAGTGGCTTCGCACCGGAAATCCCTAATTAAAAGGCGTTGCCTTCTCCTCCTTCTGTTCCGTTCTGGACATCCGGGCTTACTCCGATGTTGTTTGGGGGGGGCATCGTGCCGGCTCGTGGATCGGAGGCGGGTGGCTTTTAATGAAGGCAGATGCTGCCACCGTGCAAGTGACGAAGCCGACTGGCGATTCGTTGCTGCGGGTGGTGCGACTGTTGGCAGGTGTGGAGCGCAGTTGGTGTTGTGTTGCCCAAGTTGTTTCGGAAGTCACGAGCAAGAGAACGACAAAAAGCAGACTGTTTTTTGTTTTGTTTTTTCGTATGTTTGGCCTGTTTTGCGAATCAAAGGGATTTATTTCGATTTAATTTGGATTGGAAGTTGAGCGAGTGTGGGGAACTGGAGAGTGACGGCGCAGAAGCTAACTTTTTTTTTTTTTTTTCTTTTGAAGACGACCCTGGAAGGTGTGCAGCATCACAAGGTCGATTAAAATGCAGCGAGGCTGAATTCTAATAGAACACCATAGATGCCGGTATCTGATACCTCTTGCAATATCATTAAAAAAAAAAAGTCTCCAAAGATGTAAAGCGTGCTAATAGTTTGCATTTTAACCAAATAACGTGGAGGTTACATTAACTTAAATGAAGACTGTTACCGCTCATTCAGACTGGAAGCGGATCCGCGTTCGCAAAGCGGTTGCGAACGGGGTTGTATAAAGATCCAGTACAATTGCACGCGCAGGTGTGCACTTTGTACGACGTTTCCGGAACGCGGTGCTTTTAATATTCTATACGTCAAACAATACTCGCAGTACTGTTTGGCTACATTATAACTCTCAAGAGCTTTTTCTTTTTTTTTTACACGCCTGTGTCGGTCAATATACACGGGACAGCAAAAAAGACGTGACGTCACATTCCCCCCTCCAAATTTAACGGAAAATAATTGTCCGATAAATTTAGTGGGAAGTGCTTCCAGTGACGTCACAGTCTCGCGCGCCGCCACGTTATGTGACGTCACTGCCGTACAGGAAACCAGAAAACGCCCACGAGTTCCACTGCGACACCTCGCCAACTGCGCGCCATAAGTGAGGGCGCTGTTTAGAGCACATGCTCAGAACGAGCTCATAGTAATACGCGGCTAAGACCGTCAATCTTGATGGTGCGGAATGCACGTTGCAAAAGAACCGTATAGAAGCTTGCCATCAGCACGCGCTCAGCAGTCGCGTACACAGCCATCGCCGCCAGGGAATACCCCTTTTAGCGATGTGCGCGGCCAAAAGCGTCGCTGTGGTCAGCTTTCCACGATTGGCCAAACCATGGGCATATGAGCATTGTCAGATTGTCAACTTTGACGGTGTTAGTTTCGGATTGCGATGGCTCCTAGCTTCCGCTGTGCTTTTTCAACGCACCATGGAACTCGTCGTCGCACCCGATGGTAAGTAGCCAAAATAACAACTGGTGACGTCACGGCGAGGTCAATCCCAGTTGTGACGTTACGGAGGGAAACCATAAGAGGGCGTCACCGAAACATCTCGGCGCTAATAGGGAGTATTCACTGGCGGCCATAGCTGTGTGCACAAATGCTGAGCGCGTGCTGACGGCGAGCTTCCACAGTTCTTTTGCAACGTGCATTCCGCGCCATCAAGGCTGCCGGTCTTAGCAGCCTATTGATGTGAGCTCGTTTTGAGCATGCGCTCTAAACAGCACCCCCATATATGGCGTCCAGTGAATACTCCCTATAGGGAGTTTAAATAGATGTTTTCGATAACCCCGATGATGATAGCGGATATTCTAATGACGCCTTTGAGCACGCATCTTATCGATATTGTTATCGGAGTTATTGGAACGATCCACTAAAACTCCTTCATAACGGCTATACCCGCAAAATACGGTACAAACTCCAGACTGTCGCAACATGAAGAATGAAACAGGGGACATGAAGCTGGGTCTCAATTTTGGTTAACGCTCATCCAAAGAACAGGAGCGGACAAACGCTCGTTAAAATATATAAACAGAAGTGCTTTTTTCACCCTACCGGACGTAGCCTCACAGTTGGGAGCGTCCTGATGATAAAAATGACCGAGAATCGGCCGACCTTGTGTCGAAATTACCTCCCCCGCCGGAAAAAGAAACAAAAGTGACACAAAAAAGGCAACAAAAAAATATGAAGTTGCTGGGACCGTGTAATGGTCGTAATAGCACCCCTCGTAAACTCACACAAAACAAAAACACGAAACAGAAAAAAACAATGCAGAGTGAAAAGTAAGAGGAGGGAGGAAAGCGGTGCAAGGCAGTTGACAGTAAAAGGAGTGCACGGTCCCTATAGAAGCGTGTGCACGGGTTTCACCTGCGGCCTTGACTCTGGCGTCGTCTTTTTCTGGTCTTCTTGCTTTTGTTACGTAACGCTAATTTTTTTTCTTCTTTTTTTGGGTAGGGGTGGTCTTTTCATTGGGATACGTCGCGAGCCTGCCGAGATTCGAGTTCGAACAGTTTCGACTTTATTCGAACTTCGAACGCAAAGATTGACAAATATTTCGACTTAAGTTTGACCACCGGATATTATGCGCATGCTATGAAATTGAAATTGGAAACCATCTGACGCCACCTAACGGAGAGGGAAGCACAACATTTTGTGGGTGTATATTGTTTAGCATTAAAAAAAAAACTCACTTTATCAATAAAAGCCGAAGTGTTATATGTTATGTAAAATATAAAACAAAGTACTGTATATAACGCAGTTTTCTTCTTCAAATATTTGCTACGGTTAGATAGCTACGTGTGGGAACTCTCTACGGACCGAATTCCTCGCCCGTTTCGGTCTCATCGCATGACGTCACAGTATCACGTGACGTCATCTTGTCATGTGACGTGACGTCTCAATATTTTCGCTAAATCTAGCGGGGAATTACCTCCGCTAATTCCCCCCAAAACGACAACAACACCAACATAAAGTGTTATTACACCTTCCTTGCAATTGACAAACCGTCTAAACTCGGGCATTTTTTTTTCTTCTTATTTGTTTAGAAAGCAGACAACATTGTTCAAAAGTCGAACTTCGTCGAACTTGGCCCAAACTTCGAAGGATCGCCGAACCTGTCGAAACTTGAGGTTCGGTAAGAGTTCGCGCTATCCGTCTTGTCCTACGGCGGTAGATATTTCGATTAGGCGGGCGGGCTGGTGGCTGGAAGTTAACCGCCGTGTCGCGAGCATGCAATTCGTCATCCGAGCTGCTCCGTATACAACAGCGGCGCCGGGTTGTCTGCTACGGGCGGGGAACCGCCGGTGTCGCTCGACTGGACTCATTCCAAGGGACCGGTCGGCCTCGGGAAGACGTCCGCTCGGCGGCCCCGCGGTTTGTCGCTTTCGGTTCCGGGAATTCGCGGTGGCGGCGGCGGCGACTGACATGTGTCACATGATCGATCGCGCGGAATCGCGTGGGACGAGGACCATATAGCTACACTATTGTAGGCGAGCTGCTTCTGATTTACATACGGCATTTGACTTTGGCGAACAGCCGCCCGGAAAACTGTCGGGGACAGGTTAAGCCGCGGTCATATACTGCTTATGCAACATACAATAGACTGCCTCTTCAGAGAATGTCCGAGGCGTGTTTTCTTTTTTAGAGTTTCTCAGACTCGTAGACTTTTTAGACTTAGGCTAGGTGGCGCAAGCTACCGCCCGTTACGAAGGGTACAGCCATTAATATCCATCCATCCATCCATCTTCCATGTGTGACGGATCTTGTCACATTGGTAATGCAAAAATTGTCTGCATACATGTTTCGAGCATACACATAGAGCAAACATGCTTTGACCATGCTTGAGGCCTGTCCGCACATGTAATTCAGTCGTCGTGTCCGCAGCGAACATTGCGTGTGTTTTGTCGGACGTATGTGCAGTGTGGCTGCGGTTTAACCGTTCGTGTCATTGGCGAGCGCGAGCACGGAGCTTGAGCGTCGATCAAAGCGACGCGCTCGCTCTTGCCATTTCTTCCAAACTAACGCGGAAAATTTGCTCTACACGTGCGAACTCGATGGCCACCGACAGCCGGACGCACTGAGCTAGCAATCAATCTCGCCCGTTGACGTCACGTTCGGCCCACAAGGCAAAAAATATGCGAGGAAGACAGAGACTCCTGATGCAGTGGCGCAGCCAGGGGAGAGGCTTATGGGGCTTCAGTAGCGACGAGGATAGATTTCTAAATATCAAATAAAGAGAGAGAGAACCTATATACGCAAGAAATTATGCTTATCATGCTTTCCTTTGATATGCTATAGCCGCGTCTTGGGGTTCTGTCTGCAGTAGAATTTGGACCGTCTGAAGGTTTGTACGACGTGCAGACTTTTCGGCTGAGCGGGTGCTGGAAACTTGCTGTATTTACCTCAACCGCCACGATGTTTTAATTTGAAAAGAACATGGTTGCATCTAGAAAGTTGCGCATTAAAATCCCTGCAAGCTTGATACTTTTTTCCCCGTTGTAACGAAACGTTTTCACAGGTTTCATCTTTATATTACATTACGTTGTCTTACCTCGATTCTTGCAATACGTGGTCGTACCTCTTAAAGTTCGCGAGCTTTCAACATGCTAACCTGTTTCCATCACGTCCTTTTCTTGTTTTTCAGAAAAAGAGCGGGTACGTTGTCGTGCCACAGGCGTCATCAGAAAGCTCTTCTCCAGTTTAAGGTAAGCTTCTCTCACTAGGCAAATATTTTATTTTATTTGTCAATACTGCTCACCTTATTCAGGGCCTTCTGTTAAATTAGAGTGCTATCAAACATCGCTTGAAGCACGGACGATAGCGGTAATTGCTTCGAAATTTCCTCTAGAATATGGGACCTCAAGGACATGCATCGATAAAGTACAATTTAAAAAAGCGGCATTAAAAATAAATAAATAAATAAATGACATCACCTGCATGAGCTCTTGGGTGTCTCGCATTCGAGCACTTAAAGTGCGCGGTATTTTTCGCGCGAACAGGGTAACACCTTTTTTTTTATCATTTTACTCAGATGTTTGACGTACACGAAATTTTATCGCCTAAGTTGACTGACTGGGGGAACGCCTTCCACCCCAGTCAGTAGTTCGATTTAATCCAATTCAATTTAATTCACTTTTATTTTCAACAGAGCATTCCAACGCCCGGCTAGTTGTTCAATTCAATTCAATTTTGTTTCGAACGCAGAATAGAATCTGACTCTTTTTCGTTGACTAGAAAGGTCGTTAACCCGCCGAGGTTTCGACTGGCCCAGGTGCGACTTCCTCGAAATTTAAATTAAAAGTTCGATAAAAGTTCGTTCAAAATTTGACTATTACGCTTCAGTGTTAATCTAAAATAATTATGCGCATGCGCGTAAATTTAGAACAGCTGACGCCGCCTGGCGGAAGAGTACAACATTTATCGGGAATATTGGTTTTAAGAAAACATAACCAAATTCCATTAAAATCTTCCAGGTTTGCTTTTATATTGCGCAAATATTTTTCAATATTCCCTAAAATCTTTAACACACTACTGCTTAATTATCTTTTTTTCTCGCCAAAGATCGAAGTTGCTTGTGTTGAGGTCGTCAGACACTGTTGATTAGTCGAACTTGGTAGAATTTCGCCAAGAGTTCGAAGGTTCGTCGAACCTGTCGAATATCGAGTTTTGATCAAAGTTTTTGGCATTGATAGTCAATTAGTGTTTCAGTTTTGACAGAAAAACAACTGAAACTACGCGAGTGCTTTTTCGTATTGAATTTGTCGCCCTTGGTACGTACACAGAGAGGGAAGTACAGTGACCTCATCGCTACCTGATCGGCTCTGGTAGCCTCGCGGGCCCAGATATGGTGCACCACACCGTTTGGCATCAGTCTATGCTTAAATTGAAACAAAGTGTAAAAAAAGTATCAGATCCGGGAACGCCATTTTTGCTTCGATCGGCGATCCGCGTTCCTTCACACATGTCGTCGTTGAACGTATTTAGAAACAACAAACACATAAAAGGACCGATAACGTAGTTCCGGCATGATTTAAAACGACTTGTAGTGAAACGACTCTGGACGAAACTGCAAGTCTTCTCCGCGTTTTACTTTTACCCACCTCTAAACTTATATTTTTTCTTACGTTGGTATCTTGTCGCGGAGAAGTTTTTCGTCTTGTTTTTATTTGCTATTACTCAAATCGACCGGATTCTATTACGGATGCGAAGCACGCCAACTCCGCCGCGTCTTCGGTTTTATTAGCGGGTTATATAATTGACACGAAAATGGCAAAAAACCAAAAAAGTTCTGACGCAATCTCGGGTTACGTAACAACTTTGTTGTAGAAACGAAACCCTTCGGGACTCTGAAACAGATTTCAAGGTCTCTTCGATCGATATCTACGTAATAGGTTTTTCTTCTGCCCAAGCCTTCTCTCCGATTGGTGAGGAAGGTGGAGCATCGAACCAGTATATATATATATATATATATATATATATATGTTTTTTTTTCAGGATTCGATGAATCTACATTAACATTGTGACAAAAGTAAATTCCTCTTTCTGAGTACTGTACTTGCAGCACGCACTCTGTTACGCTGCTGGATGGCTACTGTTGGCTTGTACGAATTTGATTATTTCTTAGAATAACGCACTGTTCGATTTTGTTTTCTTGTATCGAACATGGACAATACTCGGAGGCTCCGAAATATATATTTCAATGTTCGTGGTCTCTTCGGGAGGGTTATAGCATGTCATGGCCTCAGATATCATGAAGATCTGGGGGGCCATGGTTATAGTTTGCTCTCTTGAGTGCGCTTCTCACCCTGCACCGAAGCATTGCGGAGAAGCAACACCCGCCGAGTACGGATTGTGAAATTGTGTTCGTCTCTTCAAGGCAGCACGGCCGCGTTTAGGAGAAAAGCCCTTTTCGAGAGCTTTCAAGAACTGTTTTCGCACACGCGTCGAATTAAAAAAAAAAAAAAAGAAAAAAAAAAGAAAAAAGAAAATAAAGCAGCTTGGTGAATGCTGATGTGATGACTTTTCCTCGCAGTAAAATGTTCGAAAACGAAACGCGGTTTTAGGCTTTTATATTCTGACCAGTTGCAGGCCCCGTGTGGTTGGCCAGCAGACGAACAAACGTACGGGCTCTCGCCTTTCTTGTTCTAGCCGAGCAAGTCACTCGAGGTAAAACTTATCTGCAAATAAAGATTATTATTATGCGTCGTTGGTCGGGATTTCTATTAAAATTCGAGGTTTAAGAAGGAAAGCGAGTCTATTCGAACAAAACATTGCAACCCCCGTTTAGTTACCCCCTCTTTTTTAGTCATCCAACCATTAAGGGCACGGTCGACCGAAAAAGTACATATTTAAAGCTGCATTAGCCTTAGCATTGAACAAAAAGATGTTTGGGAGTAAGCTAAAAAAAGGTTTGCCTGGATTTATGATATGGCATATATCTCCTACATCAACTTTTAATAATAAAACCCTACATTGAAATGTCATTAATGTGCATTATTAAATAACACTTTTTTTTCTAACTGAAGTATGAATTGGTTTTATTGGAACATTTAATTATGAGCAAAATGTTCGTTTTGGTAATCAAACTTATTGTATTCTAACAATTGTTTTTGAATTTATATTTATTTATTTAATTATTTTATATACTTAGGTCGTTTTGATGCCCCGGCATGTTAAAAAAGAAAACACAAATTGCAATTCAGCACTGCGCACGCACAATAAAATGTTCTCTGTCCTATCCTATGCATAAGTAGAAATGGAGAGTACACAGCAATATAAAAACAAAACAAAAAAGGCACTCAGCAATATATTATTTACCTTTAGTTCTCTATATACCTAAAATAACAATCCAAACATGTTCATGCTCTAAACATCAACTAGCATTTGTTGAAAAAACTTTGTAGTGTCTGATGCTTTTGAGAGCAACTTTAAGCTAGCTGTGCTTTGTAGCGAATGCTTATGAGTGACTGCACATGACTGGGGAAGCAAACAAGGTTGGGCAAGTCAACGCCAGCACATGCTCTTAGCATGGCATTTACACAAAACGAATGAGAATCGAATATGTGCTTGTACTTGGAAAGTTCTTTTTTTTTTTTTTTCTAATCCAAAATAAGGTTTTTTACTGTTCCTAAAGGCCCTCCGATGTAACTCTGACCAATGGCATTACTGCACATTGCTTAAGAAAACTAAAACTAAATGTCACAAGGTCTTTATGAACGAGAAACAATTACAGTTCATTAAGAACACACGTATTTAGCTTATCCACCACCCTCACCCACCAAACTCCCGAAGTAAAGCAGTTTTAATTGTGCACAGTGTTGCCTCCTTTGTCAAAACTTTCTTTCTCATTGTAGCCGATTCAAATATATGCACATAATAAAAGAAAGTAGGAAAGAAAGAAAGAAAGATAGAAAACGTCGCCTGGTCATACCAGTGTATTTTGAGCACGGCTTTGCGTTTAGAACGAACTGCGCGGTTCTTTAACCCTTTGTATTCACCACGAGCGGCGATGATTTAGTTCTAGTTACGGTTGCCGTTTCATTGTTACTGCCCGCAGCGCATACTGCCTGCCCTTTTGTCCAAGTACCCGTGTATTGTTCTCTTCGATGAGGCCGGTTCCAATTCAAACGAGCTTGTTTTTGTTGTTGTTGTTGTTGTCGTTTTACCAAGTAATTTTGTGGTAGACCAGAGAGTCAATTTGCTACAGCGGGCGGGAAAATGGGCCAGTCTCGTTGGTCAAACTGGTGTAGAAACTCTCGCGCGTTCCACATATAGTTGTGGAACGAACTTTGCGTATGCAGTGGCAGTTTGCAGCGTTTTGTGCGTGCGTGCCCCATTGTCGTGACAGAATCGTAATGGGCGTTAGTGGTAAATGAGGGTTCGACTTTATCCTCCGTTCATTAACTAAGCTATGACAGTGCGGTGGAAGTTAGGCGCTCGTTAGGTCAGCCATGCGTCTGTCTTGCGCCACGCGTGATCCTGCTCCCTCCCACTCGCAGAGAGCTGGGTCACGTGATGAAAGGGAGGCTGCTGATTGGTCAGGCCAGAGCGTAGCCCCCACCGCACTGTCAACTTAGGAGTCCCTGCGCGTTTAAAGAAAGCGCGCTCGCCGCAGTCTCGAATTTAGGGTGATTGTTTTCTGACGGATGAGGACGGAGGAGATGAAAGTGCATTTAGGCTACTAAGGTTACCAAGGCCGTACGGATGCCGGGCTATTTTAACTGGGGATAACGAGTTCGTACAAAGCCTGCATTGTATTAAAGGCCTTGTGCGATTTGTGAAGGCAATGGCCTCACGTGGACGCACGGTGAACAAGCGAAATGTGCAAAGTGAAATATAGTTAGGGGTGTACATATTGCTGCCTAAAAAACGTCTTTACCGTCAGTATGACTACTCAGCAAGATGGCTTAATGGTTTACAGGATTTGCGGGTCTGATGGAGTTATAACTTATATCGCGGAAACGTAATATGCAAGTTTAGTTTTATACATAGCTCGGCACGCTAGAGGTTTGTTCAGTTATACGTATAGGCTTGTTTTGTTAAAATGAATTCTTGTCCGCCATGAAAACTAAATAACTGTGCAGCAAAAATATGATCGAGCCATGTCGATTTATTTCCGGGAAAACGTTTTAACTTCAGAACAAAGCTCTGAGATGTGGGGCTCTAAGCCAGATTTTTTACTGTAATGTACAGTAAATGTGCCTCCACCGCGTAATCACATATCTCACTGAGTAAGTTATAGGTTTTGAGGTGAATGTGTATGCTCAATGCATTAAGTCTACTGCGTTAAAACGTTTCACATTCGCAAAGCGTAGATCATACATTCCGTTTAATCTTCTACTCGAAAAAAGGCGGTCCTTAGATACAAGGTCTAAATAATAACTTTATTAAATTAACATCAAATTGAACGATGGGGTTCTATTGTACCCACATATTGAGGAAATGCGATTTCTAACGTGGGTTACAGATTTGCCATAGTACGACTACAATAGCTTTCTACAGTTTAACTGAGTATTAAAACATAACGTTCTAAATGTAGGATTGTTCATTTACATGTTAAAATATTTCGAAGTAATCGCGTGGAAGCTTGTACCAGCTCGTGATTATTTTCTTTTTGGCGTTCATATTGGCTGATGGAGAAATCATTGCTGGTTGCGAATTAATAATAAGATACCGGGGACTCTCTACGTCCTGCTTTTCTTAAACTGTCAGTCAAAGTCAGTCAAAGTCAAAATTTAAATTGTGGAACCAGCTGAACTTACAAAAAAAAAATGTGAGGAGAGATAGGATATCTTTCCTCACATTTTTTCTCTGCGTTCAGCTGTTTCCACTATCTAAATATGTGTAACCAACTAGCTCAGCTCCTTCCCATCGTATGTCAATCAAACCATACTGTGCGCCGTATAACGCCAATCAATAACCGCCTGTGGATACGTACGAAACCGATGCATTTGTTTCTTCTTTTTTTACTTTCAGGTTGACCAGTTTCTGAAGCGAACGCCGGCAACCTACAGATTGTTGTGTGCCATGCAGGAGCGAAAATGGTCCGCGCTGCGAAGACCGTCATCTTCGTGTTTTCGCGGTTCTACAGAGAGGACGCTGCCACATATGAGAATGCTTTTCGTGCATCGATGCGTCGTGGTTTGCGTTGAAACGCCGTCAAACCATAAAACTTCGTCGAATTGAACAAGGCCCACCCCGCCGACACATATCTGCAATGCGCGTGTGCGTATGTTGGTGCGTGTGTGTGTTTGTGTGACTGTGTATGCGAGTGTTGACACTACAAATCCAATAATTTTTATTCATTTCAGTTGGATGAAGGAAACGTAAAAGAAGTTCGACGTGTCGCGGTGAACAAAGTGAACTCGAGACGTGTGCCTGTGCTACTGAATGCCGCCTGCGTAAATACGGAAAACCGAATACGCTGCGGTGGTTGGCATGACACTACTCTTGCGGCTAGCCTATCACCATAGAGTTATTAGAATGTACGCTAGAGGTTCAAATGGCGCTAGTGTGCTGTCGAAAATTGAAGCAGACAACAGCCAGACGGAAATTGACTTCCTGTGATGTATTTCTATGGGAAAAAGCGAATGCATTTTCTCCCTGTGCTTGATTATGAGAGCAAATATCACAAATAATTCGTACGTACTAGGTAGATAGCAGACATGTACTTAACGCGTTGCTAGTAACGAGTAACGTATTTATAGTTACTTTAATAAAAATGAACGAGTAACGTACTTAGTTACTTTTAAGACCAAGTAACCATACGGTATTTCATTACTTTTGAGGGTTAACGTGTGCAACGACGTTTAAACAGCATCGTTTTAATGCTAACGTGAGCATGCGTCTATTGCGACAAAGGCAGATGGGCTACCCGCAGAACAACTCAGCAATATGACAGTACACCAACGTTTATCGCTGAACGCGTCAGTCTATCTGTACGGCTGGGAATGTCCTTCACCGAGAGAACGCAACAAGGTTCGTTGATTGAACCTTCCAAAATAGTGTGCAGAACCCACTGTCAACTTCAAACTTTAGAAGCAGAGAAAACAAAAGAAGGGGTCCCGAATTCACCTGGTCTTTTTTGAGCACAACACTGCCGTTCCTTCGAGCGCGTCAGTAGAACGACTCTTCAGCGTCGCCGGAGATGTATTCTCAAGGAAGCGAGGAAACATAACTGATGATAACTTCGAGAAGCAGCGACTGCTTAAGTGCAACAACTACTGAAAAAGAAAAAAAAAAAAAAACTATGAAACAAAAGCAGTTGTGTATTTGGTCCTCAAAGTAACGAGAAAAATAACTCGCTACATTTGAGGTTAAGTAACGCGTTCCTTTTGCGAAGCAGTATTTACTTACTCTTTAAGAGGTAACGTGTACTACATGTCTGGTAGATTGGAACGTTTGTCAGTCACGCAGGCGAAATAATTGGTCAGTTACAGCGTTTTTATTTCAAATGCATGGCAATAAAAACAGTGTTAAAATGGCTTCGTAAATATAGTTATGTGCACTGCCGGACACAATATACGTCGGCACTTTCCAGCATGGGGGATATACGTGCCATATACGTACCATACGAACGAAGGACGTGGAAAACCAAGAGCGTCGGCAGGAAGTACGCAGTAACACTGGATCAGTAACTCCTTGTGCATGCACACGATCAAAACAAATTGAAGCTACACGTAATATAGTCCGATTTGCAACAAACAAGTCCTGCTTCATTCTTTCTGCTCATGAATATGTGTGGGGATGCCTGTGCGTTCAAAACATCACCCGCACGTTTGAAAACAGGGAAAAGCCAGAGAACAGGTGCCCGATAAAAATAAAAATACAGTAGAGTAGATTGTCGGGCTAGCTGGTTTTGGAACTCGGTATAAATTTTAGCACTCAAAACACAAGGACACAAACACGAGAATCAGGCACCGCAGTGCGCACTGTGGTGTCTTATTCTCGTATTTGCGTCCTTGTGTTTTGAGCGCTAAAATGTATTCCAAGTTAAAAATACAAACCTTTTATAGCCCACATACTTTATTCTTCACATTTTGAGTGTTTTAGACCGCTCGTAAAGATGCACGACGGGGCCATTTTTATATATGTGACAGGAATTGCATATTCGCAGTACCTAAGCAGCACTGCAATGCTGGCGAACTTTGAAAACCCTCTACATTCCTTTTGATTGTCATTTTTTTTTTTTTTTTTTTTTGGGTGGGGGGATCGGTGGCCGAGTGGTCTAGCGCACACCAGCTCGGAGCACGTGGAGCGAAAGCTCGCGCTGCAGAACCCAGGGATCCTGGGTTCGAGCCTCACCCCTGCCCGTTTCGATCTGGATGAGCATCGTACCGGCGTGCGGTCGTGTATCACTACTGCGTGATGCACGTTAAAGACCCCAGGCTAGCGGTTGACCGCACTGGCTAAATTGCTCATCTACAGCTGGGAGACTCGTCGCCCCTGTGAGGCAGACCAAGTTCTAGGCTGTATAAACACACACACAACCCAATTTTTTTTTTTTTTTGATTGTCATTTTTCTTAGAATCGTCGGTCGTTTTTACATACCTGCTATAAAACAGGTTTGGGCCTGAAATATAGCTAAGTTTAACATCGTTCACTGGTAAAAAAAATGTTCTAACTAAAGCAATTCTATTTTCACAATATTAATAAAGGTACACACTCCGGCAATATGAAAGACCCACTGGGAGCGCGTGGCCGAGGCGGTGGATGGCGGGGGCGCTGCGAGCGCTCCGGGCAATTCCATTCTGCTTCGAGGGGAGGACGCTCACTCGGGCTCAGCTAAAGCGAAACGCGCTTATCAGATTGTGCTGACCCCCGAGTGAGCGTCCTCCCCTCGAAGCAGAATGAAATTGCCCGGAGCGCTCGCAGCGCCCCCGCCAGCCACCGCCTCGGCCACGCGCTTCCAGTGGGTCTTTCATATTGCCGGAGACTGTACATACTATTCGATACGATCCAAATAACAAACGTTTTCCATGTTCTTTTCCGACGGAAGGGCAAAATGCACGCACGTTTTTTGATAAGAAGGCGCAGGAACGCCGCAAAAGTAGACTGGATGCTGTATGCTTCAATTTGCCCCCCGGAAGTCGCTTAGACACTAGTGCCAGTTGAACCTCTAGCGTACATTATAATAACCCTATGCCTAGCGCCCGCAAGTTCCCGGATGAAGAGCGTCGTTACTGTGGATGCCGTCGATAACGTCGCAAAACAATTTTTTTTCTTCAGTATTTCGTAACGTCCTTAGTAAGACACCATAGACACTGTGTAGTCCGTCCAGTTGAATTAACTGCGTGCTTGATATGGATCTTTTCCGCACAAAGACGACACCAAGCGGAGAAAGCTGGCTCCTCCGTGATTCAACTGAGTCGCGGAGGAGGCGGGGGGGGGGGGGGGGGGGGGGGGGGGGGCAGGGGAGGTTGCACAACACCCTTACGATTGCGCAGAACCCTTCCTGAGAAAGTCCATTTTATCGCACTATCCATGGTGAACTGATGAACTGAGCCGTGCTGAGTGTCCGTTGGAACATAGTGTCATATCTCCGCACGCGAAAGGCGAAGTCGTCTCGGAAGCGCGTTGCAAATTCCCTCGTTTTAATATATTCAGTAACGTTTACGTTGTAAGTATATAGAGGACCCGAGCGCGTTATGATGCGCATACCTGAAGTATTCTTACCTCCTGTTTGGTGTTTTTGTTTAACGTTTGTTGACAGCGTTCCACGTACAATGAATGGCGCATGGCGCAAAGTCGACTGGATGGTGGACACGTATGCATGCCGTGGATGCATACATTAGTCAGACATCTTTGAAAAGTACAACGTTGTCATTAATTTGATTGTGATATCCAGACGCTGTCTTGCTCGACTCGCTCTCAGAACCGTTTTATGTTTGTTCTCTCACTCCTTTCAATCGCTGTTTGTGATCGAGGGCTCTCGTTCTTCTTTTAGATGTTTATTTTTTTTTTGTTTATGAATCTTTTGGTACAACCTTATTCTGGTCTCAAAGGCATCCGTGTCATTGTCGTCGCGTTAGAATAGCCATTTCAACGTGTCATCAGTGTTTTATTGTTAGACGTTTCTCCAGTTGTCACCACAGCTTCTTTCGAATAAACGGAATCTGTTAGTCTTCGTCAAAACTTAATTTTCTCTGAAATAAAGGAAAGAACAAAAACAATATTTTAAAACACTAGTTGTCAATACATGGCAGACCGGTTACCCGGTTACTATATAGTCCGTTGCAGATTAAGCAAAAAAAAAAAAGTATGGGAGGCTACTCCCACAAAGCTCGTCGTGACTGGTGGTTTTCTAATCTCCAGCATCCGCCCTGCTAAAGTTTAAAAAGGGGAAAGCTTTGTAGGAAGAACTTTGCCCGCTTTCTTTTAACCTGTCACATACTATAAGAGAGTGCAGTCAACCCTGTTACACTGCTTACTATTCACGCTTGCAGGTACACGCGTTTTTTGAGCATTGCCTGTGTGTGCGCCGCCGAATCCCCGATCTTCGAGCCTGAATGAATGTATGAGTATCCGTACCCTTTGTATTGGGTGGTAGCTTGCGCCTCCTAGCCCTGCTAGGGCGCAGTCGTAGTTGCCAGAGCCATGCGTGCGTTGAACGCCGTTCCACTCACAATGACCAGGCTAGCTTTTGACGAGATGATGTCCATCAACAGACTGTTTATAAATTTGTGCGTTCGCCAAATGCGCATCCGAGACTGTTTATGCACATGTCCAACGCGCATTCTTAGGGAATTTTTTTTCGAAAGCGAATCAATCGTCATCGAAACCACTTCAATGAAAATCGCCAATAGAACGCACCACTTGCAATTGAAAAGGGCCTTGTGACGAAGGAACTACGTCCTTACCTGAATGGTGACGTCGCAGAGGCACGGAGGGCATTTTCCGTCGTCCGTGGTTTTCTTTCCGGCAAAGAAGGGGACACATCCATCCCTACACTTACAGTCGGGATTCACATCCGAACCTACGAGACATCCATTACAATTAATCTAGGTTTCCTTATCATTATGTATTATCAATGTTATCATTAACAATCTGCTGATCTACAGAGCAAAGATGGAGCAAATCTGACGCAACTCAATGCTCCGACCTAACTACTCGTTTCCACCGCAAAAACCGTAGTAAAAAATATATATATACGGCTTTTTGCGGCGCATTATTATGATTTCCCTTTTCATGTGAAAAATTGAGATATGTGTAGGTTTTTGTTAGATTATATATATGTTATCTTATCAAGGCTTACACTTTTTTGTATCATTGCTGAAAAAAAAAAAAAGAAGACACGAAGCGTAAAGAATAATAAAATGAACAGGAATACAAGCTCAGACTGCAGTGAACTACAATATCACATTCACCCGGACATACATGCTCAGACGAGTTATTTAGACGTGGTCAGTTTAACGCCTGTAACGTTCTGAGTTTCAGAGCTTCTGAAATCATAAGGGCTTTATTCTTCAGTCGTATGGTGGTCCCGAGAGACCATCAGGCATTATTGCGGAGGGCCAATAAACACGAGAAAAGCATTTCAGCATTTGCGGCACAAACGATTTCACGAGACGAGGCAATCCAGTCCCTAAGGGATTTTACAAAAAAATGAATTTTTGCCCAATTCCGTCCTGGTGCGAAGTTCTCGTATTTTATGTATGCGATTTTTTTCTTTCGGATATGTAATTTGGAGGTGATAAATAGGATGAGCTATTAGCGCAGTTTGTATTATGATAGATACTGGATGAAATCTAGCACAAATTCTTTTGTCGTTGTGCTAATGGATACCATCCTAACACTTTAATCATGATGGTGACACTCTCAAAACTGTCGTTTTGGTTTTGCGGATAAAATTCACATGGACACATTTTTTTTAACATTGAACTTTATCTCCCACTTTTTGCACCATTGCTTTATTCGATATATATTAATGACGGTCTGTGGATCTCACCGAGAATGTTAAAACGTTCTGCAGACGCAATTGCCACATACCTTTTTTATAATATATAATAACGTAGCTGAATGATGCTTCTTTACAAAACGACTGGAAAATGGCACATGTAGTGCCTGTTCAAAAGATAGGGCCCAAAAGGTAAATTACAAATTACATGCCGATTTCACTAACGTCTATATGCTGTGAATTACTGGAGCATGTTTTATACTCTAACATTATAAATCACCTTAACTTTCATATTTTTTTCTTTAAGTCACAACACCAACTTCGAAAGGGATACTCATGCACTACACAACCGACCGACCTATATCATGATTTGGTTACGCAGGCGGACAGATTAACTGTGTGTTCTTAGATTATATAAAAAAAAAAAAAATTTGACACAGTATTAAACTTACTGTTATTACACAAATGAAGGCTCTTAAATCTGTACACTGCCATACTTAAGTAGATAAAAGCAAATCTATCATCACGTCGTTGTTGTCTCCTGACTGTCCTGGATGTTCTTCCACGGGCCGAGAATGCTATTGATTATCAACACAAGGACTTATTATTTGCCCTTAGAATACACTAATGTCCCGTTTTTTTCGGCGTAGGTTGTGTAAACACCGAAAGGTGAGGGGTGTTTTATGGACATGGGGTGGTGAGGGGAGGGGTAACTTTGCTTATTAATTTGGTGAAGGTATGATCGTCTAAGCACGACGTTTAAACGTAACCGGTTGGGAACCGTTTCACTTGGTCGCAAGGCACCGGAAAATTCAACGAAGGATCTACAACAGGGAGGTATTTATAATGACGTTGTCCCAGAGTGACGATGTGATTTCGCGCTAATATTCTTCACCAAGCGTGCTTCATCAGAGCTTGTAGATGGTAGGATAATACGTTTAGGGTGAAGGCTCTGAATTCCCTGCAATAGACTTCCACGTTTCAAACACCAAGAGCATCGCGTCCTCGTCCTCCAACCCAATCCTGTGTGAACTACTTTGCGTGGCTTTTCTATTTCTTCTGCGGAAGAAAAAAAAAAAAAGAAGAAAGGTCGTTTACACATTTGCGCTTGACTGTGAACCAGTATGTTGCGTTTCTTCTATAAAACACTGGCCTGCGCATATATATTTTTATTTTTACCTTACCGCGGGCTCTAAATAATTTTGACTGTGCTATGAGCGACTATTTCTTATAGATAGTGCGTACATTTGATATGGAAAATATTGCAAAACGATCCGTTTAGTTTATACACAAGTCGAGAGTGTTCCAGGCATGCCCGGATAGAAGGCGCCACTGTGCCAGTGTGTTATGCGGTTACAAGAAAACGTAACGCATTCTGTCAGTCAGACGCGAACTTGTAAACTAGTATTTTTTCATTTATTATTCTATCGTTTCGCGACAATTTGAGATACAAACTTGAGTTCACCTCAGAGCCACCGAGTTGGCTATACACCTTAACCAACCAAACTTATATGTTTAATGCCATTAGAATAGATTGGTTCCGTGGGGCTGGTTTGAATAAACTTGAGTTTGTTCTGGATAGGCTTCGTTTCTCGTCTAAACTGCCAACGTGTCGTTCTTCTTCAGCGCACGCAGCATTCATAGAGCGATGATATCTCACATGGTAAGTGATGTCGAACTTTGCATTTAATTGCATTATAATCATAAGGGTATAAGTGATGTCGAACTAATATGTCTTACAGAAAGGAGTCAGAGAGCAGTCTTCTGGCTCGCACCTTTCCTGGTAAAATGCGCACTCGGCGTCCTCAGGACAGTTTATAGCCTAGACCATACATGAGAAGAAAAAACACGCTGTATTAGGGTTTCAAGGAGCAAAAGTACGCAGGCGAGCCGGTTAGGAAACATCATAATCTAAGAACACTATTCCCTTTATAGCCATAGCCGGTAAGGGAGTGGTAACCTTGTCACGCCGTTGCGGGGAGAATTGACTAATCGTGAGAGAAGTCCTTGTCTCGGGGCTTAGATTATGACGTTAGTTTTGAGGAGGTGCGAAAAAATGGGAGGTTTTCTCTCTCCTGATCAGTGAACTGCCATCTCTTATACCATCTAGATGTAAAGGGAATAGCGTTTTTAGCACCGCGAAAACGCATCGCCGTAAGCTTAGACTCCTCCCGAATGTATAGCACTAGCGGTTGGAATAAGTTGCCCCAAGTTTCATAACCAAATGATATCTGATTTTGAAGTTAAAGCAACGACTCGCTAAATATGATTTAATAAGAGAATGGCGGCCTATGGGAGCCCGCGGATAATAAATAGCCTCTGCTGCCAAAACCTGTAGCGTTCTTTTTTACTGGAATTTTTTAAGACTTTCTCTAAACTTTGGTAATGTACAAGGTTTGAGTTCTCTAATGTTTGCATATTATTAAAAACCGCTATAGCGTCAGTCTAAGCATTCGGCGATTAATTTTTATGGTGCACAAAAAAGGATTTGCTTCAAGCCGATGGATCGACGTCATTGTTTCATAACTGCAGTCAAGCTGGCAAAGGCGCCGTGCAACCGATATTTCGGTTTCATGTCAAACAACCTTCAGGAAGCGAAAAGTAGTCCGCACTCCTTCGCCAAGGGCGCGTTAGATGCCCTTCGTTAGTTTGGCATGTAAAACCTCCAAATTTGATTTCAGTCCACGCACTAACTTTCTGCGTTCTCAAAGCAAGACCAGTGATGAAAATGAGCTACTTATATACATGGTGTTAAACTTTAATTCTAGCATATCTTTCCTTTTCTCTTTTTTTTTCTTAGGTCGTCAATGCGGTCTGTGTGAGTCATTCGGCCAGGGGAAATATTTACGTTTTTGCATCACCAGCCTTGCGCCTTGTGCACGAGTGATGGCTTCACTGCACCCCGCGTGCTTCGCACGGGCCTCAAGTATTTCTAAAATGTACTTATCTGGTGGTCTTAGATGACACACAGCGAGTTTTTAATTGGAACCATATGTTTATTTTCACAAATTAGAAAGCTCAATAACAATATTTCGTTCATTAGCTGACTTACCATGAGGATTGGCCCCATATATAGTATGTCCTCCTGACTTTTTAGCTCAACTGCAGAAACCGCATTAGTGTACACATCGCGGCACTGTTAGCGCGAACACGACATCGGCGGATTTTCGCATTTTACTTCTAAATAGTATTAGCGAGCACGAAATTTTATCGCTTACATTATAGAACTTAATTGGCTCTTTCCGCAGAAGTACTAACTTGGATGGCATCCCTTGGTTTCAAAGAGAAAAACTGGCAAAACCGGCGATCGCTTGTTCGCACTAACAGTGCCGCGCTCTGTACCTTTCACTTCTTTTTTTTAATAATATATTCCGAGTTAAAATCAAACACCCTGTATACCGATCGAACCGAATTCCGCATAGTCAGGATGACTTACCTTGCACATTATGGTTGGATAGGACTCCTTCCCAGAGGCAATCGCTGTATGGTACGTGCGACAGAAGAATTAAGTCAAATAGTTATTACGCTCAACAGGAAATTCGGGGTTGTGGATAGTTTTGTTTTGTGGAAACACTGCATCTTACCCAGCGACGAAGCGAACAGAAGACATAGTGCGACAAACAGTTGCATTGTGGTGATCGTGGAGGTTACAAAAGAAAGTTCGTATCTATACTCAGCGGTTGATGATGATTCGTGTTCTTTTTATGGCCGCTTGCATCGTCGCACACGCGTCATTAGTCAGAATGAACGTTATTATAAACGCACTGTCACAACTGACGGTACCAGCATACAGGTATAGTCCCCGTTGGCCGTTACTCAGCCGCGCAGTGCGCTGTCAAGTCAATGCAGTAACAACAACAATGATAACGTCTTTATTAATTTGATAGACTGTAGCGTTTACAAGCATATGTGAAAGACAGGAAGTGCGCCAGACGAGAAGGCCTCGAGCTTTTGTGAGTTTGGCGACCTCTTGATAACGCTGTGTACGAGCAAGAAACGCAAAGCGGCTGACTGAAAACAGGCGAGATGCGGAGCCACTTCTAGAAAGCCTATGTTTAGTCCTAGATTTTTAAAGGAGGCCGCCATTTTGCTGCCTGGTGCGGAGCGGGAGCATTTGGCGTTGATATACACCTACTATTCGAAAATGCGACATCCAGAGCTCTATAGATACGGTGAAAGCTCAGCCGATATCGATTTGCTCTGTCGCGTACTGTTGTAACGTCTCTAGAGGGCAATAAATTGTTTCCGGCGATTTTAGATAAATCTTGAGATTTCTGGCAACGATGATTTTAAGTGCCAAGATGGCTGAAGTGGTGCATATTCTCGGAAGTGTAGCTTATTCGGTGGTTCTATAGCGAGAGATGCTTTCGCAGTGTGCGACCCGGCGTGTTCGGTTGGCCTCCTTGGAGCGCTCTCTCCGTTCGCTTGATTTGAAGGTTGAAGCGTCCTCAGGTTCTGGTCAAGCTGGAGAGAGTCCTTCTGACAAGCCTTCGGAATATGGAATTTGTCTTTCGGGAGTGATTTGCCTCTTGTAGGTTCTACTCGCTGCCGTTCCCATTGGGCTCCTCTTCTCTGACTCTCTCTGGCTTCTGCAGAAAGAATAAAAAAGACAATATATATGCGTGCACCGCTAGATACTGGTCCCAGATCACGTGCCTATATAAGATGCAGGGTTCGGTGAATTACTGTATTGGCGGCGAGAACTTCCGTTCGTCTTTCGTCCGGACCGAAATGTTCGGCCGAATTGGGTCTTCGGCTGAATCGAGCCTTCAGCCCAACTGAGACTGAAGCATCAACGTCCGAGAGATAAACGTGCCTCCCGCAAGAAGCGCACGGGCTTGGCTCGTGACGCTCTCGCTTCCCGATTCGTAAGTCCTTCTTCGGCATTCGGCTAATGCCGACATTTCATTGGCTGCACGGTACGATAATGAGATGCTGGGGACTGCGCATGCGCAGACGCATCATCTCACGCGAATCGGGTTTCTGCGCCGTGCCCTGGTGTGGGCAAACGCCGACTTGTTCGTAGACTCTGTGTTGGTGATATATGAGACCGATCACTCACCCTGACGACGGCGATTTCACAGAGACACGGATGGCAGCCCGTCGACGCCTCCCGGTTCAGGATGGCGTGCGCACAGCCCTCGTTACAAGGCTTGCAGTTTTCCAGCCGAGGCGAACCTTCATTAAAGTAAATAAAAAAAAAAAAAAACATTATTTACATCGGAAAGGCTATATGTACTGATAAAATTTCATCGTGCATTTAATCAAACGCGATCCGAGTCGTGCGGCGCCGCCGATCAGCTCGCGATACCGACTCTGCGGCGCTTTCCGCTCTACATTTGCGATGTCTCAAAAACACCGATTGGGCGCAAGCGTGCGTCGTCTTGCTTCGCAAGAACGCCGTGGCCTTTTAGGTCAAGTAAATCGCTCTAACGTTTTGCGAAACGCGTCGATCGGAGCACGTTGAGCGAAAGCTCGCGCTGCAGAAGAGCGTCCCACAACCAGCATGACGCTGAAATATAGCACGCGACGACGCCAATTGACGGACCGGCGACTTTCGTCAAGCTTTAGCCTGTTTCCCCCTTGGAGAGAGTCGTGGGTCCACTAGCGGTGACGTCATTCGCAGGCCTTGCTGCCCGTTTCGATCTGGATGAGCATCGTCTATACCGGTGTGCGGTCGTGTATCGCTACTGAGTGAAGCAGGCTATGAAGACCTTAGGCGAGCGGCCGGGCTCCGAACTCGTCAAACACAAAGTTGAGGCCGAAGTTCACGGAGCGCACCGATTGGAATATCACGACGATGACTTCGCCCTTTTGTCCCCAGCGTCGGTGCGTGAAGATTTTACGGGCAACGCGCGAACAACACCTCATAGCGAGGCCGTATACTGCTAGATTTTTACGTCACGTATTGGAGGCCAGCGCGGGGGCAAATTACATACACCTCAAAAACAATAAAAAAAAAAAAGCTTGCTTGCGGAGTATATACTACTGATTTACTCCTTTATGCGGTGAATTAAGATATATGTGCGGGTGAATTTTAGATTAGTTTGCCGGCATTTTTTCGAGACGTTCACGTTTCAAACGCCAAACGTATAGTTTCTTCCTACGACGACCAAATGTAGTAAGAACTGCTTTGCGGAGCGTATGAACACAATTGAGTCCCATCGAACCCTGTGTCCTGTGATGATGGCCTCCGATAGATGACGTAGAAAACCCGGCGCTGCGGCCTTATCCCGGAGGTGTTTATCAGGCGCCCTGAAAAGCTGAGCCCGCGATGAAATCGGTACCAGGCCTACACGCAGCGAGCGAAGTTTTTCATCGAAGGTTTATTTTAGTGGTCACCTCTACCTTGGGAAATTACAAAACGTAACCCTGTTCCCGTAAAAAAAAAAAAAAAAAAAAAAAAAAAAAAAAAAAAATTAAAATTTGTAACACCGGGTGTTCACGCAGTACGAGCCTAGTCGAGCATACGGCATCCTGAATTCTTTGCGAGCGAAGCTTTGCGTGTCAAAAACCCGGGAGCCACGGGCAGAGTGGAGTATGCCCCGCGACACTCCGAGCATAGCTCTGCTCCGAGATACCGAACCGCGCGCGCGCGCTTCGGGATCTCGGAGGTCATGGAGGGAGGGTTATGTTTGACTCGTTTGTGGAGAGATGGCGCCACAGTTCATACAAAAGCAGAAAGCAGGCGACGCAGCTGAGCGACGCGATGGCGGCAGATTTGTGAAATCTTGCTGGCTTTTTATTTCATTGAACTTCCGGCGTTAACGTCAATGCGATTGACCTCTGAGAAAAGTTGAAGTACACTGCAGGAGCGTGCGATGTTGAGGACGGAAGGGCTATGGTATACGACAGACTCCGAGCTTAGGTTAAAACATTCCAACAGAGGGGTCGTCACTTTCGGGTCATCAGTTTTGTAGAGAATGTCAGTTCAAACTCGGACATCTTTGTCTAGTGAGGTTCTCTATACACACCAAGATTGTCTTCAATTTCAAACAGAGCCTCCACACGAGGGGCAAGCGCTGCTGGTTGTACACTGTGAGGTATCTTGGTAGCGCCCAAAGACAAGGACAAATGCTAGTTGTACACATTGGCCGAATAACCAAACGGGTCAGGGGATGAACTCACACGATGGTTTGAGAGAGCAGTCCTCGGAAGTGCACTGCGGCTGTTCCAGGGTGCACTCCTTGCCCTCGGGACATTCCAGGCCCTGGGGGAAAGTCCGTGGAATTTTATGACACACTCCGCCACCACCACGATCGTGTTGACCTCTAGCCTGCCAGACGGCATAACTATAAGATACTATATTGGCGACGAGATGTTTTGGTAGCGCCACCTCGCGGGCGCTCTCCTGTGACGCAGCTGGTAGGATGCGGGCAGACGACGCGCAGTGTCAAAGCACGGAGCGGCTATGTTAGCTCGCATCTATGCCGATTAAAAACAGTTTGTTATTAAAGAAGCGGGTGTAACGTGAATGCGAGTAATCTTTCTAATGTATAACATCGCCTCGAAGTTGTTGTTTTTTTTATGAAAAAAAAAAACTTTAAACCGTAAAAAAAAAGATAAAAAAATAAAAAGAAGCTTGGAATTTCACATTATAGCTTGCGCGGCGTGAGTCAGGTCTATTCACAGCCTCCGTGATTCTTATTTTTCCGGATTTGTGGAGGCTGCTGTAGAAAAAGGTTTTGCATTATCCAGAGTAAATGACGTTCTGTCTTCTTAGCTGTGCACGCGCGCACAGTTGTGTTGCAATGCGCCGCACATTTGTTTTAGCTACATTGAACTTGCCGTTACCGACGCAATTCTAGGCCAGTGTGGCTCGACAGCTGCTGCCGACCAAAAGATCGTCAGCAATTGACTCTTAGCTCCTCACGAATCGAATGCGTGGCAAAGAAGTTTGTTACATCTTGACTCCTGCTCGAAAAAAAAGCAGAAATTTTCATAAATTCTTAAATTGTCGGTCATCCATGGCCCGGCAAATTCAGTCGACTGATTAATTTGTTCTATCCTATTTTACTAAAAATTGTTTACAAATTTAAAATTGCTCGTTGAGAAGTGCATCACGCATTATGCGCAGCTTGTTTACTGGTTTACGAAATTTCGAAAGAAATCAAATTGGAATTAATAAGAGACCAGCACTCACAGAACACATTAGAACCAACAGGATACACATAATCGTTTTCACTGATGTGTTTACTGCAACACGCGAGAGGTACTCGAATTTCGCTTTCGCATTTTCAATTTAATGAGGCATTCCTTTCTTAGTTTAATTTTTAATTTTATTTTGTCCGAATCATAAAAAAACACCCTATTTGCTATGGTAGATGTTGTAGTGGGATAAAGCGCTGGATAGTCTATTTTCATCATCTAGCGTTTTGTACTGAGGTAGAGAGCAGCACAGCACCATTCGAGCGCTTCGACACCTCAGAGCCAAAAGTGTTTGTTGGCACGACTACGCGTGCCACGCGCGATTTCAAAGTTTGGTCTAATGTCCTACTATACTCTGTTTCACCTTATAATGTACCGCAGGAAAGGCTACAAGCGCGAGCTCCTTGCTCAGGGCACATCTCGGCGGCATAAACTCGCGTGCGTTAAGACTCCTCCCAACCAACACCACCTAGACAGGCCTCCGCATGGTTTCCTCTTCTTCTATAAAACGTCATCACAGCCGGATCGCACTCGGTCGGCTATTGGACCCGAGCCCGACCTTCGACGCGCTGATTGGCCACGAGCCGCAGCCGAACACTGACGCAGCACTCGTGCCCAATCTCTCGCCTCGATCGATCTGACTATGATGACGCGTGTGGAGGCCTTCTGTCTAGGTGGTGTTGTCTCAACGCTATGAGCTCGCGCTTCTAGCCTTGTCTGCGGTACAACATAAGGTGAAACGGAGTACACAAATATCACTTCACCAAATGTACACAGCGCGTGAAACAGGTTTTGCCGCGCGTTACCCAAACAGCGCATGAAGCGAGCTGACGAGCCGAGGGATCCTAGATCTCCGCCAGCCTGTCCTACCCGTGACGTAAGAAACAATGAAGCTGATATACCCTATTTCCCCTTATGATGTACCGCAGGAAAGGCTATAAGCGCGAGCTTCTTGCTCTGGGGCAGATCTCGGCGCGGCACAAGCTCTCGTGCAGTAAGGGCAGCTGCCAACGCTATGAGCTCGCGCTTCCAGCCTTCGCTGCGGTACAACATAAGGTGAAACGGAGAATAGCTAGAGACGCGCCCCCTGTAGTTTGCACACGCCGCCAATACCAGTTTATATTTGTGTATGTACGTCTGCGGAGGAGGGAAGGGGCATAATACTGGATTTTAAACCCTAACGGGCGTCACAGCCTTTTATCTTTCTGCGGTGGAGTATCAGTAGACCAGTATCACCCGGCTTGGTTCTGCCAAGGAACTGGGCGGTCATTCCATTCTCACCTCGCATAACCACGCAGCCGAGACCAGGATCTTGTTGTCATCAGACTGTGCGTTCACCGTCACTGTAACATTAAAAAGGAGAAATTATTGTGACGCGAGCGGCACGGGTCCGCCGACAACCGGCTTTCACGAAAGCGCGAGGCTTCCTGCGTATGGACGTTCAGGTTTCCCGCTGCATTTCAAGGCTACTCAAACTTCAAGCTATCTAAATCCAACCCGTACCACCAATCCGAGTGTCTTGCATATCTTTGCATGGCTCTCGAAACTGCTTACACCCACATGCGCGCGCGCGCACAGACGCACGAACGCGCACAAACACGCACGCACATTCAAACTTTCACGCACGCACACGCACATGCGCGCATAGACTCACATGCACGCGCACACGCACGCACACACAAACACGCACCGTACGCATGCACACATCTAAACCATACCCGTCGTTTCTCCGTGCCTGAGTAAAGCTCGGAATCCTGCTGTTACGCAAAGAAAGACTACTTACAAATGTAAATATGCGAAACGAGTGCGAGACCCACTGTAAGTCTCTCGCCCACGCACCCGCACCCCTACCTTTTTCTCCTAATTTTTTTCCCCGAGCAGCCTGACTGGAACGGCCTTTGCCCCCGAATGGCTGCCATCACCTGCCCATCAACCTTCATGAAACATGTAACTCATCATCTTCAAGAATAAAAAATGCATTTTTTAAACTGATTTCTTATGTGACATCCCAAAAGGAGTAGGTTAAAGGGATACTTCAACGAAATTTGAAATATATCCGTCGTGTTCAAAAATGGGTTGAATAGACACTCACCGTCACTAGCTGTCAAGATACCTAGACGGGCAATACGAACGAGGCGTTAGCGACATCCACCAGGTGCTCTTTGCTAATCGTCTAATTCGTTTTAAAATTCCTTTTCGTGACTTTTTTTAACAAGATATTGGTGTGTTCGATGTGATACTGCTCCTTTGAACACATATAGACCATAAAATAAGCGCCGACTTTTTGTCGTAGTATCCCTTTAAGGAAATTAAGTGAAGTGAAAGAATAATCGAGAACTCGCGCTCGTTCAGAAGCTACGAGCGCAGGCTCGACCGCCCACTATCGCGACAACGTTTGACAGGCAGACGGCGCAGGATATGCAGGATATAGCCATCGAAAACCCCGTCACGATATGTCACGTTCGTGTGGGCATCCACACGCCCGACGCAGTTCTCAGAAAGAGCCGCAGCAAAGGCGGCAATTTCTCCAAGTGCCGCCGCAACGTCGTCCAACGCCCGCCCACCGATTGTCCCGCAGCGGACAACGGCGAACACGGGGGAGAGGTGCGACTTTGAGAGCGATCGCAGCTGCAGCCGTCTCCGATCGACAACGGCCGCGCGTTTACGCGAAGGTCACGGCGCTCACGAGAAAACAGATCGCCGGGGGAACTTCCCAGAAGAACTGCGTCTTAACGCCCGTGTGTCTCCACTACTGGTCAGAGGGTGGCCGCTGATTGGTCCGGCGAACGCGTAGCTCCCACCGCACTGTCAACTTAGGGGTCAATTGCGCAGAAAGCCGTTTCCTGAAAGGGCGTTTTCGAAATAGACTATATAGGCACGCTCTTAAAATACGAACGCCAACTTGAGTGCCCGCTTGCTTCAATGCCAACTGTGCGAGAAGGGAAGGGGAACGGCGTGCCATGCATGTATTATGTAAGGCGACGCTGACCGACACGCTACTGTGACGTATCGACGCCTCCGATTTCAAGCCCACCTGGGCTCTGAAGGGCTCTTATTCTTTTTTTTTTTATCTAGATGGGGCTCTAGGGCAGCCGTCTGGCAGGGTCGCGTGTGCGTGTAACTATTACATTGCCGATTCAAGGACAACTCCGCAGGTGAGCTGCGTGCTTGTCTACATACGAGCGTGGGAACGTGTTATTCTCGCTCGCGTAGAAGACAAACCTCCACGCGTGCCATATCCTCCATACACACACAAAATTAAAAAAAAAAAAAAAGCTAGAGAAACGCTTTGAGGGTGTCAATTAGCTTGTCCTAGGGATAATACCTTCTGGGTGTTTCATCAGCACCCTTGGGGGCTGGTGAACACCCTAAAGCTAGGATGCTGACGAGCCCAACAGCATCCTGTGTTAGGCATCAACTTTTGTTGAACTATGCTGTTCTAGGCTGCACGGCACTGCAGCCCTGCATGCTTCGCGAGCACGGTGGCTTCGACTTGCGGCTCCATTCATGTGCATTCGCGCAAGTAGCTTTGGTAGCGGTGTGAAAAGAGTATCGATCATTGACAAGCTAGCACAAAAAAGTTGGGGGATCGGTGGCCGAGTGGGCTAGCAGCGTACACCAGTTCGGAGCACGTGGAGCGAAAGCTCGCGCTGCAGAACCCAGGGATCCTGGGTTCAATTCCCACCCCTGCCCGTTTTGATCTGGATGAGCACCGTACCGGCGTGCGGTCGTGTACCACTACTGCGTGGTGCACGTTAAAGACCCCAGGCTAGTGGTTGTACTGCACTCGCTAAATTTCTCATCTGCAGCTGAGACACCAGGCGCCGATTGACGCTAACTTCCGGCTGTATAAACATACACGCAACATTAATATTTCCACAAAAATGTTGACGCCAAGTGTCGCCATATATTTGTACGAGCAACAGCTTCACAATCAATACGAAACCATATAGAACTGCCACACGCACAGAAAATGTGCTCGCTTTCAGAAGCAACAAACATGCGCGCGCTGTGCTGAGCAGATCCCACGCTGGGCTGAGGACTTGTAAATATTAGAATGGTGTATAGACCTTTCCAATGTTTACAAATCCACAGCTCAGCGTGCGATCTCCACAGCTCAGCACGCGCGTGTGCGTCGCTTCGGAAAGCGAGCAAATCACGCGCGATACGCACGAACACTGAAAATGAAACCGGCCAGCAACCCTTTTCTGGAAAGGTCTATACAATGGGCGAGTAAAAGGAACTCATTGCGCCTTTGACTGCCTCAGCATTAAATGCAATTACAACCGTTTTTTTTTTTTTTTTTTCGTATCCATATATTTTGTCAAGTATACTTTCTCGGGGTTTGAAGGATGTCTCCGTCAGTAGAAATTATTAATACAGGTAATGACAATTTTGACATATTCGCTTTAAAAAAGCCTCGCTAATATTGTTGGAAAGCGGGTGCGTTTTTGCATTCTTGCACAGAGCTGTAGCACCCTTTCCTATATGCGGAGCGAGAGTTCGTCTGCTTCTTTTGCAGGGGTTGTTGTGACGTCATAAATACGCCGAGATGTGATTGGTTCTGAATAAAAGATAGCGGGTAGAGCTCGAGGCAGCCTGCTTTGAGTTCTACCCACTATCCTCCAATCGGAGCCCAATCAGAGCTAGGCGTTTTTTGCTCGCGTGCCGATGAGCGAATGCAGCGCCAAAGACGCAATTTGGAACACTTGCTCGCCGTATTATACTAAACAATAAGGCGGGGAAAGGGTGCGTCATGGGTGTATGTAGTCTTATATAGGAAGCTATGGTATAATTGCCCGGGGAACACCCATTCTGGAGACTTAACAGATTGTGTTTAGTGTGGGCTGCGTTTGCCCCTGGGGCCATTCTCGGCTAGGTGGAAAAAAAATTTAAATCATGATGTCAATTATATGCATCATCCCAATATTCACTGCGTATATGCTGCTGTTTTTGTGCATTCTGTCATGCATCATCTTTTAACTAAAGCAATTAATGTTGTGATATATATATATATATATATATTTACTTCTTTGATAAGTACAGTATATCTAAAATGTCTAGCGGTTAAGCGGCTCATGCGGGTGTAGCCCAAAACAACCCCGTTTTGACTCATTCCCGAAACGACCTTCCCGTTTGAACCCGCGTCCCGTTTCAACCCATTCCCGAGTCGCCTGTCCCATTTGAACCTGTCCCATTTAAACCCGTTCCCGAAACGCCATTCTTATATGAACCCGTAGCCGAAACACCCTTTACGTTTGAGCCCGTCCCGTCAAAATCCACTGGTATCTCACCCTCTTCGCGAAAAGTCTCCATCGTTCTAACCCTGGTTTGCGCACATTTTCTCCTTAAGAACAGGTTCCGAAATTTTGTTGATGCAATTAATGCAAAGGTGCCGGCGAGCTATTTAGTTATGTTGTGAACTAGTTTTTATTGTCAACGTGTTCTTAAAATATACATCACTTTCAGACAAGCTCCAACGAAATATATTTCTACTTCAAGATGGTCCCCAAAATGTGGAACTACGAAACACGACAACGTTACCCCGAACACGATGTTGACGACTTTTTAAATGTTAATTCGAAATGGTGTTAGAAGGTACCAAATTGTATACCGCTTAGGTTAGTGGTTCAGACGAGCACTTTCAAAGACACTAATAATATTGAAGGCAGTCATTTGATTCTTTCAGACAAACAGCGAAAACCAACAATTGCTTGTTCGCGCTAACAGTAGGGTGACCACCCGTCCCGCGACTCGCGGGACTGTCCCGCATTGAGGGCTTCTGTCCCGCGTCCCGCGAGAAATTCCCAAATCTTCAAAATGCCCTGCATTTCACACTGTCGTAAAATTCACTCTGCAACGCATGGTGCTGCCGAACAACGGGCCCGGGGAAGCGCGGTGGTCGCTGGTAATCGTGTGAATCGCAATGGTACGCCATTTTCTATACAAGAATTGCGGGAAGCGACTGCCGTTCTTGCAGGAGACCCGACACGCATGCGCCGCTGTGCCTGTCGCTTTGGTGACAAAATATTGTAAGGGAAAACTGTTCGCCAAAAGTTTAAATATAAATTATTGTACTTATTTTCATATCGCTGTATCAATGCGAAAGGGTTCCTGTGAAAGTGTTTTTTAGTGAAGACAGCCACACAAGACAAGAAGCCTGAAACTTACGAAGGTCGAAAAGAACATAATGTTAAAACATTTGTGTAGGACCATGTTGATAAAAGTAAGCGTTGACAGAAAACAATAACCCGAAAAAAACTTCCTGTTTCTTATTTACATTTGATGCATTGAGTTCTGCTGCAGTCGATTTTTATGTTTTCAACTTCGATACATATAATAACACATTTAGCATTAAAAAATTGTATCACTGGGAGTGAAAATTATTCGAAATTAATTGCTGCTATACAATTTGCGAGAGTATAAACAGCAGACGATATTAAATGTGTTAACAGAGCCTTGGGTCGTGGTGTGCGTGTTAAAAAAATTGCTCTACCCCCCCCCCCCCCCCCTCCCCCCTGCCCCGCGTGCCCCGCTTTTCGCTAGCAGGAGAAGGTGGTCACCCTAGCTAAAGGCCCGTTCACACTCTTGCAACCGAGTACGACCGAAAGAGACCAAACCGGTTTTTAAGCCTCTTGCGATCTCTTAGGACCAGCTCCGCCCAGCGCATCCGGTCCCAAGAAGTCTTTCTCGGTCGTACTCGGTTGCAAGAGTGTGAACGCGCCTTAACAGTGTCACCCTCTGTACAGTAACGAAGTCTTAGAATAACATAGGCAAGCACTATGAGTAAGCAAACATTAGCGTTGCTTTAGGTTTTACCATCGCGACGCTATTTTTAGGTTACCGAAAGCGCTTACGTACTTTATTCTAAAACTTTTTTAGAGTGAACGGGATATTTTCAAGAGTGAGAAATCAGACAAGTTGACAGGCATATGATTGCGACTTCATTTTCTTACGAGTTCAAGCACAGAACCCTCGCGCTCACAGGAAAAATTCATAAACCACAAAATGCTATCGCCTTTGTTGAGGAAGTCGAGCTGGAAAATCGCATTATCGGAAAGGCGACACTCCATTTTCAATAGTTCGCGGGTGTCCCCTGGCCCTCACGGCGCCACCATTTGCAAGCTGTTGCAAAGATATTCTTGTCAAGGTTGATTAACGTAGACGTTTGGGCTAGTTGGTATGCAGACATATTTTAAAAAAATTAATAAAAAACAGAGTAAATACGATGGACAAAGTAAAAGGTAACCGATAGGACACAGCGCTGTTGCCGTTCGGTTACCTTTCATTTTTTCTTGTCTTTGCTGTGTTTTGTTTTTAATTGTGTCTTGTCAAAGCGTCGTTCCGTTCGATAAGATCGATGAAGCTGTCAATGTTCGGGTGAGCCCTCCCTGACACAGTTTTTATCTTACGGTTTCATGTCTTCAAGGTTGTTTCGGGAGATGAAGAAGTGAGGTGAGCAAGGAGGACAAACAATGGACACTTGAACCTAACGAACATATACAAACGAACCGACAAATTGATAACGAGCGATGGCCGAAGCGGGAAGGTTGTTTCGGGATAGGGCGAAATGGGAAAGGATGAAACGAGAAGGTCGTTTTGAGCCGGGTCGAAACGGGAAGCTACAAACGGGAAGGTTGTATTGGGAATGGGTCGAAACAGGAACCACCCGCTCATGCAAGCGAAGTGCAAGGTTCGACTTGAAAAGACTGATGTGCACGAATATCGGTATCATTTTTCAGTCTTCAAAACTATAATTAGAAGCCCGCACTATTTAAGCAGTGGAATGGGGTATGTTCGGCAGCGGCCTTTATCCTTCCTTTCCAACAGATTAGTTAGTAGCAGATGCGTATCACCGAAAGTAGTAAATACTAGCAATTTCACCACTCGTTGGGGTTCTGTGATCAATCGAAAAGGCAGATACACACGTTATAGTCACTGACATTCTAAGAAGCGCCGAGTCCCAATCATCTCATTATCGCTTACCAGCCAATCAGATTGCGGCATAAGTAAGTAACCAATCAAGGAACGTTAACATAATAAGACCCTGTGTTTCGTAAGCTGTCGGTGACTCTAAAACCGGAAGATCATCTTAAGACCACCCCACGTATCCCTGTTAAAAAAATAAACATTTATTATGCGGATCGTGTTTGTCTGCTTGGGGCTGCGATGATGTCAGAACGTAGACCTCTTATTGGTCACTGAAAAAAAAAAGAATATATATATATATATATACATACACACACACATATATATATATATATATATATATATATATATATATATATATATATATATATATATATATATATATATATATATATATATATCCCTCCACTATCCATACAGTAAAAGCAAATCAGAACTCGGCGTCGTTATGACGTCACGGCAACCCCTGTGCAAGGAGCAGACGACTTGCTCTCCGGATATGATTCACCCGATGAACGTATCAGAATGGTCAGCCCTAGACTCATATTTCAGATCTTATCCGATCTTTGAATGCATTTTCGTACGTCCATTGGACACAGCTGTATAATTGCTTCACCAGGGCTCCACTCTATCAATTTATGCGACTTGTATGATTGGACAGGTAGATAACCCTCGGACATTAGAGAGTTTTAGTAGATCGTTCCGATGATTCCGATAGCGATACCCGACACTCTGTCGCCGCTTTTGCGCTTGCTTCGTATCGTTATCGGGGGTGGCGGAGGTATAGGAACGATCTACTAAAACTCTCTATTAAGGGAATCGCACGATAAAACAACCTCAAATATTGGGAAAGCTCGAACGTGCGGCGTCTCACTTGTATATAACCATGTGGATATTCTGAAGAGAAGTTCTACGCTCCGACTATTGTATTTTTTTATATATATATATTGGGATTGTTTGTCGTCCGAGATTTGATATTTGACACAAATCTAGAGATAGTTGTGACGTAACTTCACCACTGCATGCAGGAAGGGAACTGAAAATAAAACAAAAATGAAGAGCCTTCCTTGTTCTTCGGACGGCTTGTCGTCTCTTGAAGTGGTTTTGTCAAGATACAAACTTCCGGCATACAAATATCGGCGGGCGGAAGGAAAGATTTAGTCGCTCTTGTCAATCAAGATTGCGCGGCGTCGAGGCCGTAAAGGAGCTTATCACTTCCGACACGGTTATCCAAAGTGATGGAGTTATCCCCGATGTTGTCACCGTTGTCACTTTTACCGCGTCGTCCTAAGTGGAGCGGAGGCTGGAACCGGTCTGAGCATGGATCTTTGAATTTGCCGCGAGCAAACTTTTTTCCTTTTTCCGTGTTGTTATAGCTTAAATCTACATATACCCTGTCATGCAAACAACGTCTATGTCATTGGACGCATCAATGGTGAAAGTTCCGAAATGGTGTCCCAGGGAAGGAGTCGGTACAACCAACAACGCGGATTGTTTGTTGGGACAGCCAGACGGCTTCCCGAGCCTAAGTATTTACCCGCAAGTTCGTTGTCTGGCTCTTAAAAACAATATAAATATTATATTTATATTGCGGTTTTGCAAACAACTTAAGAAAGAATTAAACATAGAAGGACAAACATGAACAGATGTGCTCTCCGAGCTTAGTCCTTGAAAATGTAATTATTTTTAAGGTTTTTCACACTATACCAACGCGATCAGTTTGTCACAGCTCATCAATAGCAAAATAAGAACTGTGGAGCGATCAATCATATTGCTATAACTGCTGTGTCAGCGCTAGGAACGATACACGGATCGGCTACTTCGCAATTCTCAGCAGCGACATATGACGTAGCCTACGATACACACGTGGCAATTCTTTTGACTGATCAAGAATACCTCCTATAAAGCAGTTTTTTTTTTTAAGTATTCCCTGTCTTTATTTTATGGAGGCCTGGTCCTTAGACAAACATAAGCACACCTACTCTCTTTGTCAACGTGAGATATTGACTTTTGATGACGCCTGCAATCTTCATTAGTACCACATGCTTGCAGACATGTTCATGTCATCGTGGAGATGCTAAAGTCTAATGAAACACATATTTTAAACAAGACGTACACGACACGTTAATAATCAGTATTTGATTGTTCGGTAAGCGTGACTCAATATTAAAGTTACTCGATGGGCTGTCATATCACAACTAGACCTCGCGGTTTGTCAGTGAGCAGACAAGCACGTATCTCTAGCTGTAAATCATAATGAACCGTTCTGTTTTGTACAAAAACATGCAAAACATAAAGTGTATCAAGAAGTGCCTACTCCAAATTTATTTAGAAAATTCGAAGTGGCAGACATAATCAATGAAACTAGGTTAAATGTGTAATTGCTTTCAATTCCGCGTCGCCTCCTTTCGAGAGTCAAGAGCTGAGTAAATCATTTAAGTTGGGCGATTAATTTTGCTTAATTAATATTAAAGTTTTAATTGCCCCCTCCCCCCCCTTCCCTTTAACGAAAAGAATACATTCTGCAATTTCACGTTTTATTGAACCGTTCGTCGAGGGAATTTTACAGAGAATTTTCCGGAATATTTCAATGAGACTAGTATACACATTTCCAGCGCTTATAACTCAGACAAAAAGAATACAGAGTCACTGAGACTTTTACGCATGCACGGCATCTGATATGCCGCAAAGCTACTGCGTACGCCCAAAGCCCGTTCCACAGCTAAGTAGACAAAGATGTCAGCGCGCAGGAAGCAATTATTAAAAGGGTATTTTATAGCATGGGTTCTCAAAAGGTTCCAAGGAACCCTGGGGTTCCCCAGAGCGCATTCAGAGGTTCCCTAATCTTCCGACACTAAGCCTAGGCATTAAAGAGAGTTGACGGTTTCGTCGAAATCGCAATGTCTGAGAGCCCCAGGTCTATAGTAACGTCACCGAAACTCACCTGGCGTAATAGTACCCGAAGGGTCATGGAACAAATTCGCAGTTCAAAGCGGCCAAGACAAACGAAAGATTCCAAACTCGATCGAGTCCGTTAACCCACAGCAACCGCCTTTGTCAGAGCGGCCCCTCTAACCAGACGTGTCCCTCCCCAGAAGACGTGGCCCAGATTCCGCGCCACTCACCCGTCGAAGCGGCGACGACGACGACGAGAAGGCAGATCGGGTGTGCGAGCAACGCCGTCATGGTCGCGCGTGTGGTGTTCGTCCTACTCTCTGTCCCTCCTGGGCAACCTTGCTCCTTCTCCGCTGGCGGCGACTAGGCTAACCGGGTTGAGGCCCCCTCCACCCCTATATAGCACTGGCGACGCCATTTTAGCCACTCAAACAGGTCGCCCCCCCCCCCCCCCCCCCCCCTCTCCTCTACTGCCCACTCTTACGACTCGCGCGCGTGCATATATAGTGACCGCCGCTTTGTGTGACCCCGCTGATGGCCACGTCTCAGCTGGCACGCATGTGGTACGTACGGAGTCCACGTGATGTCCGTCATCCTTTTGTCTCAATAGTTCGGGTTCCGGTTTGGCTCTTAATACTTCGTGACATTGCGACCGGAGTAAAATGAGGGTATCTGCTTTGTTTACTCCCTTGAGCCCGAGTAAAGGCTTCGGGCTTGGGAGTTTAATGGGTATTTTAGCCTTTAAAAACACCCATCTGAGTAAATTTTTTTTGTACATTTTATTGTCCCCGACAGCTGAAGGAACGCAGGGTGTGGCGAGTGCCAAACATCTCATTATCATCTCATTGTAACTCTGCAGCCAATGAGATTGCCGCATCAGCAGATGAGAATTCCAAAGGACCAATCACGAACCAAGAAGCGTGAACGTGATAAGCCGAATCCTGCGTTTCCCAAGCTGTTAACGACTCAAGTGTTATCAGAAAGCACGACATGTATAAATCTCGATTAGGTTTCCGGTATAAAATAGGAACGCAGAGGGGGCATATATATGTATATAAAATATCCAATCCGACTTAATTACAAATAAAACATTTTAGTTACTCATCACCTATTCTGAAGAAGTTATTTTTCATTTTGTAAGGTTGCAAGATGAAAACTAAACTTATTTTATTTGTTTTCATTTTATATAAACTTGTTTTCGTGTATAGCCACCTTGATTATAGCCTTTGCCGGATCCTTCAGGCTGCTTTCATTTTCGTACTAGTTGCCGACGGATATCAACTCCAAATCAGCAGAGTGCTGATGCTGATAAACGACACCTCTTCTGCCAAGCGAAAGAATCATGCACAGACACGTCGAATGACAGTTACAGAAGCCCTTCTGCTGAACGTTGCAAGTAATGGCGTTGCCAGGCTTTGATTTATTTTTATTTTTTTTATTTTTTTTTTTTTTTTGGGGGGGGGAGGAGGAGTGATAGAGCTCTGGTCAAAACCGCTTGTGTAGCTCTGAATCAAAACAAGTGACACATATTGAGATTGATTAAACTTTCACGGTTGTTCATAATGCGTGTCAAATTCAGGACAGGGTGACATAACACTATGATCTGATCATGGTCACATCAGACAGAATGTTGCGTTGTGATCGCATCCAGTCATAATCAGCAGTTAAGTTCCGTTTTATCATTATACTTCTTGTGGTTTGGAGTCAGGAATAATGAAGAGAGTATCCGGGTAGGTGTGGTTATAATCTTGGAAACGAGGAGTTAAACTTCGATCAAGCAAACATTCTCTAAATCGGCACAGAGAGACCACGCTAGCAAAAACAATATACAGCATAGAGATGCAGCAAAACGCTCTATTAGAAAACTAAACAAGTACATACGCTAATTCTTGCACATGCCGTTTCTCAACCATGAGCCCTCGATTATGAACACATTCGAACACAAACCCGGGTCCGGAAATAGACCAGACCTACCGGTCTAAACAACAGCGGCTTGCGGAACCACCGCACGTGTTCACAACCCCGGTATTAATCGGGCAGACATAGATCGGCAACCAGCGTAGGTGTCACATTAACCAATGTGACTCTAAATGAAATGTGACTGAATCCGATGTGACAGTAGAAGTAGCTGGCCGCCGTCTTCGAAGGCGAGAGACGCAAGGAGGTGACGCTCGTATCCCGTCAACAGTTCCTGGACGCCATATGAGTTTCTGGGGAGAGTGGTTCGATGATGACCGTCGGCAGCGTAGCGCGGGGGTGGGGTCTGCCCAGGGAAAAGCCATTTGAGCACACGTTAATTGCTGGTCTGGGTGCAAAGTGATTCTGCAAGCTCCTGGAACGGTTTCCTCCAGAGCAGCTGCAGGTTGAGACGCGCTGTATGTGCTCCGACGAGTGCGGACACCTTTAGAAGTTTGCAAGTAGCCGCGCTTCACGATCTGGCCACCGTGGATAGAAAATGTTTTGCTTAAACGCCAGTTTGGCAACCGTGGGCACGCCTTAGCAAGGTTTGACTATCAGACGATCTCCGCAGGCCGATAGTGAGATGGTGCACCACCCAAAGGCCGTATTAGCAAACGTCTACAGACGTTTGCAAGCAACCAAGCGTCAAATGCTATAGTCCGACCCCAGTGAAATATGTTTTGTTTAGGTGCCAGCCTGGCAACCATGGGCACGCCTGAGCAAAGCTTTACTACCAGACGATCTACACGCGCTATAGAAGAAGCAAGACGGCGGCACCCAGAGGCCGAACTTACAAACGTATACGCGAGACGCTGAAAAGAATTCATTTTGGCACCAACGAGCTTGAGTAAACTTATGGCGAATTCCACTGGGCGTTTTGGAGCGCGCCGGGATCAGTTGACCGGATCCGGATTGGAGCACAAGATCCGAACGGGGTCGCGCCACCTACGGATCCTCAGTGGAACATGACCACTGCTCCGGGATCGGCGGATGCCTTCCCGTCATTCAACTGCCTGGAATCCCCTTTTCGCGGCCGCCGCGGTCGTTTCGAAGACGTTTTCGCTACGCGGAGCTAACACGTGTTCGGCGCACGAGTGGCAGGAATGGCTCAGGCGCTTCTAGCAACGATTGTTGGAATGCCCGTAGCGCCGGCAAATACCTTCTCTTCTCCTTCCTGGAAAACGAACCGGCTGTCGAGCCAATGGGTAAGCAAGCGGCCATTAGGAATTCTTCTGATGTCGAGACAATCTAGGAGCCCAGCCCGCGACGTGCTTCTTCTTCTTCTGAGGCGAGACGGGCGAGATCAGGCGAGATGCTCCACGAGAAAGGAAGTCACGTGTGTGCGCCGAGGGCTCCGAAATCGTGGGAACGACTTTTCTCGTGGCGAATTCCACGGGTCGTTTTGGAGCGTGCCGGGATCGATTTTCCCGGAGCGAGCCTATTTCACTGGGCGATCGGGATCGAGATGAACTTGTTCACTGGTCGTTTTGGATTAGCTCCCGCTCCATATCTCGATCTGGATCCGAGAAAAGTCGCTCCCCCGATTTCGGCGGATTCAACCGGAAGCCAGCCGGGTCAGCCCTCGGCGCACACACGTGACTTCCTTTCTCGCGGGCATCTCGCCTGATCTCGCCTCAGAAAAAATGGTAATGGCCGCTTGCTTACCCCTTGGCTCGACAGCCGGTTCGTTTTCCAGGAAGGAGAAGAGAAAGATTTTGCCGCGCTACGGGCATTCTGGCAATCTTTGCTAGACGCTCCTGAGCCATTCCTGCCGCTCGTGCGTCGAACACGTGTTAGCGCCGCAATCTCAAAAACGTTGATGCTTGGAACTTGGAACCAGCCGCTACCAGACAGCTGAATTGTTTAAAAAAAACAAAAAAAAACAAGGACGTTTTGGGGGAATGAATAGATCACATAGCAGGCGGTAGACAAGTAGACAGCATTGAAAACAATTTATTCCACCGATTGTTATGAAGGCCGATGGTGCCGGTGTCACAGTTTTGAAGCACTGTCAGTTCAGCTCAACAACACGTTACAAAAGACGGTTTGGGGTACTGCCGGTGCTAACGCAATTTCACAGTAGAAATAGGAATTGCATGAAAGAACCGGACAGAAACACTTCATACGGTGGCGTAAATGCCGAACATATATCAGCGATGTCACTTTCCTCGGTTAGGGCTATCTGCTTTGTCAGCGAATGAAGAACATCTTGATAAAATAAAGAGCGGAAAATACTCCCCGTGTCAAGTTTTCTAATTACAGCCACTGGTTGATGTCGTACCGTAGTAATTCCCGGCCCTTCGGACGCACTAGCGCTTTGTAGAGTCACATTTCCAGCGATTCCGCGCCGCACACGAACGAAGGTAAACAATCAAGATGTCGGAATGTTCCCCGTGTTGTCCTCGCCGTCAGCACGGTGTGACAGGGTTGTCGGACAACAAATCGGGCAACACTCTTGCCGGGCGGCAGCAACATGTTGCCCGACTGTAGTTGAACACGTGTTAGCACCGCGATTGCGAAAACGTCTTCAAAACGACCGCGGCGGCCGCGGAAAGGGGATTCCCCGGCAGTCGAATGACATGAAGGCAAATGCCGATCCCGGAGCAGTGGTCATGTTCCACATGGGGATCCATCGCCGGCGCGACCCTGTTCGGATTGTGAGCTCCATTTCGGATCTGGTCAACTGATCCCGGCGCGCTCCAAAACGCCCAGTGGAATTCGCCATCGGATCCAGATCAAGATCTGGAGCGGGAGCTAATCCAAAACGACCAGTGAAACATGTCGGTCTCAATCCCGATCTCCCAGTGAAATAGGCTCGCTCCAGAAAAGTCGATCCCGGCGCGCTCCAAAACGACCAGTGGAATTCGCCATTAGAGCGGTAAACCAGCGGCCAAAAATGGCACCCCCCGGTTGCCGCCATCTTGCCTGTTTGCCACATTAGTGATCACGTGACGTTAAGATGGCTGCGCCCAGAGGTGGGCCAGATCAGATTGGCCAGATCACGGTCAGCAGATGGGCACTCTGGGGCTGCGTTCCAATCTTACTCGAATGGGTCCGCTGTTCGCTATGGCTGTTCCGGCGGATCAAGTCACGGGACAAAACAGATACGGCAGTGTTGGACGCGGGTAGGTTTTCAAAAGCAAAGGGTACGAGACCTTCACCCAGGTGCCGAGGAGAGGAGTGAAATAGAAGCTGCGTTCGATTTACCTGCACCTCCTGCACCGGTGTAGAAAAGTTTAGGGCGGTGTACTTCCGGTCGTATCTCAATACGCACAATGGAATTAGACTGCCTACACTTTTTTGCACCGGCGAAGGAGGCGCAAGTAAATCGAAGGCAACTTTATCTCACTCCTGGGTGAAGGTCTCGTACCCGTTGCGTTTGGAAACGTACCCGCGTCCAGCATTGCTGCA